GCAGCAGCAGCACTCGCCGTCGTCTCTTCCCTCCTTCCCTTCTTCCCTTCTTCTCTTTCTCCTCTCGCTTCTTTGTGTCCTCAGAGACAGAGAGTGAGTGGGGAGAAGTGAGTGCGAAAGCGAGGATCCTCGCTCTCTCTCTCTCACTCTCACGATCCACGGCGCCGCCAACTTAGCAGCAGCAGCGGCGGCGGCTGCGGCGGCGGCAACGATGCAGTGAAAGCGACAGCGGCGGCAGCAGTAGCAGCCTCACCGATCCAACGACACCACCAGACCTAGACACTCGAGCTGAGCAGCACCCGCACACACACTCGATTCTTGCTGATTCTTCTCCAGTCTTCGGTCGGTCGGTCAGACACGCACTCCACTCACTCACTCACTCACTCACTCACTCACTTTCCCTTTTCCCTTTTTTCGGGTACAGAGAGAGTACTACTCTACTACAGTGTAGAGTGTGTTCCTAGACAGAGTGGCAGACAGCAGTGTGGTAGTGATGGCAGTGTCCAGTTCAGCAGTCAGTCGCGGGTAAGTCCGCCGCCGTCGATCCCGACAAAGAAGAGCAATGGTGGAGGAGGAGGAGGAGGAGCAGGGAAAATGAGCAGCCATAGCAGCAGCCACTGCTGCTGCTACCGAAAAAGAAAGAAAAAGAGAGAAAGAGGAAAGGGACTCCCATCCGCCGGGGATTATATATTCGGCTACTGTCCCACTCGGTTTAGTCATCACATCAGAGAGTTGGCGCTGGCGCTGTGCAGTAGTGTGCCTCAGTGCTGCTACTGAAGCTACTGCAGAATCACTAATTGTTGCGCACGCACTCTGCAATGAACACTTCTTTGTGTGTGTGTGCTGTGGTTCCAGATGTTCCAGTGGTGCACACTTTCTTAGCCCAAAAAAGAAAGAGGGGATATAGCTCTTTCTAAGCCAATGTAAGAGAAAGGGTTTGCTTGCTCACAGTAGTGCGCCGACGACGTTGTCAGATTAGGTCTGTCATCACCGTCGTCGTCGTCGTNGCTACTGAAGCTACTGCAGAATCACTAATTGTTGCGCACGCACTCTGCAATGAACACTTCTTTGTGTGTGTGTGCTGTGGTTCCAGATGTTCCAGTGGTGCACACTTTCTTAGCCCAAAAAAGAAAGAGGGATATAGAATATAGCCCTTCTAAGCCAATGCAAGAGAAAGGGTTTGCTTTGCTGTGTGTGGTAGTGTGCACCGCCGACGACGTTGTCAGATTAGGTCTGTCATCACCGTCGTCGTCGTCGTGGTCGCCCCGCCACCACCATGATAGAAAATAAAATGCGCCTCTTTTATTTCCAAGTTTTTGTTTGTTTTTGTTTTTTTGTCTTTGTCAGAGAGGTTTTTTGTTTTGCCCTTTTTAGTACCTTACACACACCAAACAGCACCACTTTTGTACTCTCTGCAATAAAAACAGCAGAAGCAGAGGTAGCACTCGCGGTGTGTGTCTAGCAGTAAGAAAAGGGCNTGTTTTGCCCTTTTTAGTACCGCACACACACCAAACAGCACCACTTTTGTACTCTCTGCAATAAAAACAGCAGAAGCAGAGGTAGCACTCGCGGTGTGTGTCTAGCAGTAAGAAAAGGGCATTTCTCGTTTCATTAGAGCGTGGATTCTCATCCGGCTTTTTTTCGCATGTTTGTTTAATGATGGCGATGATGGTGTGGTGTGGTGGTGTCAGTGTGGTGTTTGTGTGGTGGTGTTGGTTGTGTTGTGGGGTGTCGTGAAAGAATTCGAATTCGATTTCGATCTCGTCGTCGCGATCAGCACATCGTCAGCACTCGCTGAAGAGGTCATCCTCCAGTCGAAAAATAAACTGTAAAGGAAAGAACAAGTGGAAGTGGAAGAAAGAGAGAGAGAGAGGGGTTGACATAAGTTTCAAGTCATTTCAGGTGGTGGTTGTGGTTTGC